CAAATGATACAGGACTTGACAATTAGCCCCAAAATTTTCTTTTCAGGATCCCCTAAAGATGTCTTCACCCCCAGAAAGCAGGAAGTAATTTAAAGAAAACTATGCCCACATTCCCAAGAGGTGGGGTGGGTAGTTTTTTGGTCGTTCAGTGACTTATGGATAATTGTCATTGTTTATGACAGTTGGTTACAAGTTGTTAATCATTAATGGTCAGGAAAAAAGCTGAACATAGAGATTAGATTCAGAGGTTTTGTTTAAAAAAAGGAAAAAGAATATAGATATGGGTAGATCACTGAATCTACACTAAAAAGAAAAAAGGGGAAGATATAAAAATGACAAAAGGTAGATTACTGAATCTATTATGAAAAGAAAAAATACTTTTAAAAAGGAACTACTTGTTTTAAATAGGATAAGTAATGAAAATTTTTTGTCTGAGTTTATCAAATGTTACTGGACTGGACATTGTTAATATATATAATGGAGTTTTTTGTCTGAATCTGTCAAATGTTAATAGACTCGACATCGGTAATGCTTGACTGTATAGACTGTATATACTTATTGGATAGTTTTTCTTGTATTAGTTATAAGCTTTTTTTAATTTTAAACAAAAAAAAAGGGAAATGAGGTGGTATTGTGTTCCCGGAAATATTGTGCACCCTAATAAACTTATCTGGGGTCAGAGACAGAACAGCCACAATATTAAACATAGAGAATAGGCAAATGGTAGCACACGCCTTTAATCTCAGCACTTGGGAGGCAGAGCTAGGCAGAAATCCATGTGTTCAAGGATACAGCCAAGTGTAGTGACTCACGCCTTTAATCCCAGGGAGTGATGGTAGAAAGCAGAAAGGTATATAAGGCGTGAGGACCAGAATCTAGAAGCATTTGGCTGATTAAGCTTTTAGGTTTTTAGCAGCACAGTTCAGCTGAGAATCATTCGGATATGAGGACACAGAGGCTTCCAGTCTGAGGAAACAAGATCAGCTGAGAAGTTGGTCAGGTGAGGTTAGCTGTGGCTTGTTCTGTCTCTCTGATATTCCAGTGTTCACCCCAATACTTGGCCTCAGGTTTGATTTTAATAAGACATTTAAGATTCCTGCTACATCAACATGTCTAATTTATTATAAAGAAACATTTTGAATGAAAAAACAAATTCTTGAATTCCAGTTAGAGATGAATTTCTTAAACACACACACACACACACACACACACACACACACACACACACAGTGAGAGAACAGTCACTGGAAAAGAAGAGACCAGGTGGGCACGATGGCTTCTTGGGTAACGGCATGGGCTCACAAGCCTGACAGCCTGAGGTAGATCCCTGAGTCCCACATGGTAGATGGAAAGAACCAGCCCCCTCCCAGATGCTGTAATGTACGTGTGTGCACTTTGTGTGTGCATGCCCCCCCACAAACACGATAAACAAAGGTTAATATATAAAAATTTGTTGAAAAGAGAAAACAAAACTCAATTAGGAAAGATCAAAAACTTGATTAGATATGTCTTCAAAAGAGAAATACCATTGGCAATACATCTCTGAAAATTCATTCAACATCACTAATCACCTGGGACATACACCTCAAAGCAACAAAGTTGTGTCACTGAGGATATGCCAGGGTAGCTGTTGTGGCACACAGTCCTTTAGACACCATGTGGCCATTGTCTTGTTGAACAGTATGCAGCTGTAATTACTGGAAGGATACTTGTACAGAATTCAGCTCATTAACTTTCCATCTTTGGGCAGGGGAGGGGCTCACGAAGTCCCACCCCCTCCCCAGGGAGTAACAATTAACAGTTGCTGGGAAAGAGAGGTTTTTATAACAGTGTAGCCACCCATAAGTTGCTGCTAGTCCTGAAAGTAACTGCAGGTAAACCCATTGGGTGGATCATTTCTTTGTTTCTGTCCTTGATGCCCTGTATGGGTGAGAAGATGCTGATTCTCTTCCTTCAGAACAATTTCACACAACCGCTCTCTAAAAATCGAGAGGGATCTGGGGAGATGACTCCCCAGGCAGAGCCCTTGCCATGCGTGCGTGAGGGCCGAGTTCAGATGCCCAGATCCCTTGTAGAGCCAGGCAGGCCTGAGGGCCACCAAAGATCAGAGGGAAAGATGGGGGTGTACAAGGTGTGACAACTTAGCAGAGTGGAGAGTCACAAGTTGACACCCTGGTGGGAGCCAGTGCCGTGGTAGGAAAGCTGCACAGTGCTTGACTAATTCCTGAAGGCTCGGAGTAGAAAACCGTGAAGTTTAAAATATGCACGAGGTCTCAGATGTGTGCGGACCATATAATTTTGAAATGACTCACCTAAGGGCTCAACCAGGCTCTCACAGAAGATGTTGTAGAATTATCTGCTTGTACTTCTAACACATAGAGAGACAAAGCTCCATGTGAACTACACAAGAGTACTCTGTTTCTAACACCATCGTTGCAGAAGCTAATTTCCCCCGGGTGTCTAGCTAACAAGAAAAAGAAAATATTACAAGGCGTGCTGAGTAAAAAAGGCACAACTTGAGAAGTGGAGTAAGCAATAGACCCATGTATGCAGGGATGTGAGGATTTTCAGGTCAGGAATTTTGAGCAGCTGTGACGAACACATTAAAAGTTCAAATAGAACAAGTGACCAACATGAGCAGAGAGGGAACTCCTTCGAGGTGTGGGGATACTGCCCATCAAAACTACTGTAACGGAGTTGAAGATAGACTTCGTTAGGTTGGTGAGTAACTTGAGCACGGTAAGAATTTCTGAGCTTGAGGATGTCTCAGTAGAAACCTTTAAAGTCACAAAGCAAAGAGAACCAGGAAAAGTTAGTATGGGAAGACTGTGGGACTCGACAAAAGATGTAACAAGAGTAACAGGAATACCATGGGGAGAAAGAAACAGAAAGTAACTGTAAAAGATAGTGACTAAATTCATGTCAGACACCCCACAAGGGAGGCAGGGACCTCAGAAGACACCACACTGGATTTACACCTCCCTTGAACACGCTAGTTAGGCATGCGTTTCCAAACTACAGAAAGTCAAAATACTGAAATCCAGAGAGACAAGGAGAAAAAACAATCGTGTTACTCACAGAGACGCGAAGGCAGGAATCGCTTCCAACTTCATGAAACCCACACAGACAGGAAGAGAGAAGACATGACATATTTAGTGTCAAGGAGGAAAAACAAAAGAAAAAATAAAAACACCAATCTGGAATCTCTGCCCTGTGAGATTATCCTTCCAAGGTTAAGGAAAAGTAACCACTCTCAGACATAAACAGCTGAGGAGAGTCGTCCTCAGGACCTGCCCTTGCAAGAACGGTGCTGTGTTCTTCAGTCAGAAAACACCAGATCAGAAAGTAAGATCTGAACAAAGATCGCACACCACTCAGACAACTATCGGTAAAATGAAGAACGTGTGTACGTTCATGAGGTGGAACGTTAGCGAGGCTGAGCTCAGCAAGGATGGTTTGTAAACGTGAGCTGAATAAAGAAGGAACACTCGTGTGTGCTGTGGACCGCACACTTCATTATGCAGAGGATCTTGGTTGTGAAGGGAGGGTGAGCGCTGATGGGGGGCAGAGGAAGAGCTGCCATTGGGAGGTGACGGATGTTGACTTGAAGCCTTGTGACTGGAGACCCAAGGCAGGCTTGGGCTCTCTGCATCCTCCCAGCCTCCCTGTTCGCTTTACAGTGACCTGCTGTGCTGCACGTTTATATCTGACGTGCCTCCTGTGGGTGTGTTATGTTTACCTTAAAGTGTTTCCACATAAGGCCAGGACTGGTGCCAAGCTGGACATCCTAAGGCCACAGTGGAAGGAGTGAACTGACTCCCACAAATTGTCTCTAATTCCCAGATGTGCACCATGGCACATGTACACTCTCACACACACACACACACACACACACACACACACACACACACACACACACATTAAATAAAATTTCAAATCTATTAAAGAATTAAGCTGGGTGGTGGTGGTGGTGGTGGTGGTGGTGGTGGTGGTGGTGGTGGTGGTGGTGGTGGTGGTGCACGCCTTTAATCCCAGCACTCAGGAG